CGTCACACTCGCACTACCCTTCCCCAGTTATCCCGGACTCTCGCACTACCCTTCCCCAGTTATCCCGGATTCTCGCTGTAAAGGCACCCCCAGGCATAAAAGGGTTAAACCGCCGTTTAGTAGATCTTCCCCTTCCAGAGACACAGGCACAGCTACTGTAGACACCAATCCACCGAACCGGAGAAGCATTTGAATGCTATAAACAGCCGAACCGGAACCATACGAATGCTGTAAACAGCCGAATAGGAAAAACCATACAAAAGGTTTACACTCCTAGCAGTCGAACTGGAACAGCATACCATAAATACCCCCAAGAACAAGACAAGGCTCCGTTTTGAGGGTCAAGCAGGAACAGACAGAGCTGTGGGTTTATTGTTCTTACATACACATTAGTACCACCCACAGGGTTTTGGAAAACAACCAAAAAACACGTACAATACACTCAGACACTCCCACACAAAATCCTCCCCTCTGCCTGTGATACAATTACCTTACACAATGGGTAATGTAATTATCACAGCCAGAGAAATACAGTTTTTCCACATTATTCATAACTTGAAAAGTATGCATAAAACTTACATTTTCAGAATCCGCATACTCCAAATACAAACATATCAAAATCATCCAACTTGGTCCATTGGTTCAAAAGATAGATCGAAGTCCTTTGTGACCAAATGAAGCATGGCTTTTCTGCCCAAAACCAGTTCCACAGTCTTCTATCCTGGAGATAATTGGGAAGTATTCCAATTATCTCCAAGGACAGAGGCAAAACTCCATTAAGCACATGGCAGTAAAAAGACAGTAAAATACACAAAGGTTACATTTATTACATAAAATACAGACATGCAACATATCCCCAGATAGCTTAGGTCTGAGCGCACATTATTACTGAATGGCACTCAGACCACACACATACAGTTCAATCGCCATGGAGCCAAACTCTTTTATTACACGAATAGGCTCTATGGCATAGCTATCTGGGTTAAATGAGTTCATTCAGTAAATCCGAGAATCTCCCGAACGCCAGGGCAGAAATACAGGAATAGACCTTTCTGCATAGGAAAATAAAGTATTTAAATGCCGGTCCATAGTCAAAAGGCAGCAAGCAGGCAACCAGGCTCCTCCAATGCACAGTGGCGAGATTGGTCTCGTCACACTCACACTACCCATCCCCAGTTATCCCGGTCTCTCGCACTACCCTTCCCCAGTTATCCCGGACTCTCGCACTACCCTTCCCCAGTTCCACTACCCTTCCCCAGTTATCCCGGACTCTCGCACTACCCTTCCCCAGTTATCCCGGACTCTCGCACTACTCTTCCCAAGTTATCCCAGAATTTATCACTAACCTTCCCCAGTTATCCCGGATTATCTCACTACCCTTCCCCGGTTATCCTGGATGATTTTACTAGCCTTCCACCAGTTATCTCAGATTCTCAAGAGGGACGGGGAGAGATCAGGAGAGGACAGGTAGATTTGCGTGCCATCTGCATAGAAATGATATTGGAAGATATCCCGGACTCTCGCACTACCCTTCCCCAGTTATCCCGGACTCTCGCACTACCCTTCCCCAGTTATCCCGGTCTCTCGCACTACCCTTCCCCAGTTATCCCGGTCTCTCGCACTACCCTTCCCCAGTTATCCCGGTCTCTCGCACTATCCTTCCCCAGTTATGCCAGAATTTATCACTAACCTTCCCCAGTTATTCCGGATTATCTCACTACCCTTCCCCAGTTATCCCGGATTATTTTACTTGCCTTCCACCAGTTATCTCAGATTATCTCACTACCTTTTTCGCAGTTATCCAGAATTATATCACTAACATATCCCAGTTAGTCCTTGTAGCGGAGAGGTAGTATAATCCACAGTATCTCCGCTGGGTAACAGGAATAGCATAAAATAATCCAAGGAAATAAATACAGCATACAATAATCCCGGTAGCGTTTGTAAGAATCCTTTCCTCCCAAGAACTAGACGACACATAGGCTGGGAGTCAACTGAGGTTTTATTCACAGGGCACTGTATTTATGGGATTCCCCATGCAAGGGGTTTCCCTACTGACATTCCAGGGGTGGTACAGTAGGGGACTACATGGGGAACTGAACAACACATACATTTCTCCCACCATGCACTGCTGTACGAGAGGGATACTCCCACTAGAATATACAGCTAAGTGGATTATCCCTCCGTGCAGCAGAACTTACATTTTACATTAAAATACATAACTTCTATAATATTCCCTTTATTTAAACGAATGGACGTTCGGTAGATAGCTGGGGTCTGAGCGCACAGTTCGTGAGAATACCGCTCAGATCCCAGCCTAACTAACCGAACGCTGCACGAAACACACATTCCCAAATCACCTTTAAAGTACCGATTGGTATTAGGGGAACAAACTACCGAACGCCCGGGGCTCCCGAACGGCCTGGAAGTCCAGCAGTGTTCGCGCCATCGAGTAGCCGATTTTAGTTCCAGGCGCTCGACGACCAAACAGCGCAGGGCTAACAAAGGAACCAAGATGGCCGACCGCCGCGTGGTCGGTAGCCAAACGACGGCCACCTAGGGAAGCCTTTAACTACCGATTGCAACAATGTTGCAATTGGTTAATGGGCGCCACACAACCTCCTGTGTGTGGTCGTCCATTCGGTAGTTTATTAGTTTCACGAACAGTGTTGCAACTCACTGTTCGTGAAACTACAGTAGGAATGCTGGGGTTTTCATGCCGCCAGCATACGAATGCTCTCATTCGCCTGAAATGAAAATACAGCAATATGCTTGGTTCTCACAGCTTAACAAAGGGATATAAACATATTCCTATAGTGATAGTCTTAAGTGGCTAGTTTTACCACAGTCCTGATTAACACACTGTCCTTACTTGATGTCCCAGATGTATATGTAGGTATCAATGGAGCTAGTGACCAACACGTCTGGCTCAAACGCTGACCAGTCAAGATCACTGCAAGAGAAAAGAGTACAGAAGCCAGTTACTAGTTTGATCAACTGGAAACTCTGTAATCGTCTCACTAAATTATAGCAATGGTTTGCAATAGCTTGTGTTTTAGATGTTTAACTATAACTGCTTTGCTCAGATTACAATTACCATTTGGTGACTAGCTTGAATGAGGGGCCAACCAACAGAAACAAGTATAAACAACAGTGAAAGATACAAAGAGGCAGCGGATAGAGTCTCTCTTACAAAGCATTAAACCTCTGACTTCACGTTGCATCATCAGCCCCTTGAGTAAAAAAGTGAAAGAGTGGCATTTTGTATAAAAGGAACCGACCAGTGACAGCAACTTAAGAGAATTTTTACTGCTACAGTCTTAGACTCATTTACTGCAGAAACAGTATATACAGTAAACCTGATAACTCGTGTGTGTCCCTGTAGGGAGGTGCCAATGTCCCCGCTGCCATCCTTCCACTGGTATAGGTCCACACGCTGGTTACTCTGCAACACACAAAAGATAATGTGCATTCTGTGCCCACCTCAGCCATCAAGAACGACGTGTACTGTGTGTGCCCACCTCAGCCAGCTAAAATGACGTGTACTGTGTGTGCCCACCGCAGACAGCTAAAATTACGTATACTGTGTGTGCCCACCGCAGACAGCTAGAACGCTGTGTACTGTGTGTGCTCACCGCAGACAGCTAGAATGCCATGTACTGTTTTTGCCCACCTCAGCCAGAACGTCATGTACTGTGTGCCCACCGCAGCCAGCTAGAACGCCATGTACTGTGTGTGCCCACCGCAGCCAGCTAGAACACCGTGTACTGTGTGTGCCCACCTCAGCCAGCTAGAACACCGTGCACTGTGTGTGCCCACCTCAGCCAGCTAGAACACCGTGTACTGTGTCCCCACCTTAGCCAGCTAGAACGCTGTAAACTGTGTGTGCCCAACGCAGCCAGCTTGAACGCCGTGTACTGTGTGTGCTCCCCCCTTCCTCAGCAAGGACACAGGCTGTGTACCCTGTGTGCTCCCCCCTTCCTCAGCAAGCGCACAGGCCGTGTACTGTGTGTGCTCCCCCCTTCTTCAGCAAGCGCACAGGCCGTGTACTGTGTGTGCTTCCCCCCTTCTTCAGCAAGCGCACAGGCCGTGTACTGTGTGTGCTCCCCCCTTCTTCAGCAAGCGCACAGGCCGTGTAGTGTGTGTGCAGCTCAGCCAGTGCCGGCTGTAGCATGTTAAACTTACAGAAGCAGCAAAAAAGTGAGCATAGCTCTCGTGGGGGTTCCACTGCACGGTCCCTATGTCCCATTTGCTCTGCCGGGATATCTTGCGGTGCCCTTCCGTTGGGGTATCAAGATTTACAATGTATAAAAAACGACGGCTAAGAGCAGACAGAGAGACATGAATAAACCACTTTTAATAACGTAGCATTACAGTACATTGCCCCCAAGCAAGCTGGTAACACAGAGCATGTTCAGATTGAAGGGCACCATACTACGGGTTCTCCTGGTGATTGTTCTTCATACAGAAATCCACTGCCCAAATAAAAAGAAACCAATAACAAGACACTCACCCTGACAGCACGGCAAGTTGTCCCTGGCAATCCACGGACATCGCTGTCGCCTAGAACACAAACAGCCATATATGTGACGGGCATTTCATTTTCTGTTTTACAGTTCTTGGAAACGCCCTCCTCTTAATTTGTAAAAACCCTTGTAACCCTTGGAAAGTGGGGATTCTGGCTACAGGTTGGGGGAACAGATCTACATGGGGAGCACCTGGGTTACACAGTGAATAGTGACAAATAAGGACTATAACTACCAAAATTGCAGATTACAGAAATGGATTGCCAATATAATTCCTGGATCTATTATAATAGCTGTCTATGTATCAACTGATACCCATTGTTAGTATATTATTACCCCTGTGATACCCATTGTAAGTATTATATTACCTCTGTGATACCCATATGTAAGTATATTACCCCCTTAATATCCTATAATTACCATTGTAAAGGATTTCCCTGTATTCACCTGTGTTCATTCAATTGTGTCCTCTCCCTGCTCTTTAACTACCTTTGAACGTTTCGTTTTAATGTGTTCGGGAAATGTATTCGTTCTACCGAACGGAGACCACCCTGAGTAACAATCAGAATTTGGAACACCGAGTAATCACACGGAAAACCGCAACTTAATTGAGTGCTCCTAGGTGGCTGCTGTAACGGATCACCTGGCACCCCGACTGGGTACCTCCGTTAAAGGATGCTCCTAGCGTTTCCTGAGGACTCCAAGCACTGCAGCAGACACAACAATCACCGAACTGGAGAAGCGTATACCTTCTCTCAAGCATATGAATGCTATAAACAGCTGAATAGGCTAAAACCATACGGATGGGTTTAGACTCCTAGCAGTCAAACTGGAACAGCATACAATAAATCCTTCCCCAACAATGAGATGACACTTCACTTTGAGGGTTAAGCAGGAACTGACTGTACTGGCACATACAGCCTCTTTTATTCCCAATCCACAAACTTAGTACTGCCCACAGGGTTTTACAGAACAACCAATAACACACGTACATTACAGAAAACACTGCCAGCAATTATACACAAAATCCTCCCCTCTGCTTGTGATCTAATTATGGCACACAATGGGTTAACATAATTATCACCAGCAGGAAAAATACAGTTTTTCCACATTATTCATAACTTGAAAAGTATGCATCACATACACATAAAAAACTTAAATTTTCAGAATCAGCATACTCCAAATACAAACATATGTCAAAATCATCCAATTTGGTCCATTGGTTCAAACGCCAGATCGAAGTCCTTTGTGACCAAAGGAAGCATGGCTTTTCTGCCCAAAACCAGTTCCACAGAGTCTTCTATCCTGGAGATAATTGGAAAGTAATCCAATTATCTCCAAGGACAGAGGCAAAACTCCATTGAACACATGGCAGCAAAAGACAATAAAACACATAAAAACATATAACTGTGCAGCCATTGCACAAAACAAGTACATTCAACATATCCCCAGATAGCTCAGATCTGAGCACACATTATTACTGAATGGCGCTCAGAGCACACACATACAGTTCAATTGCCATGGAGCCAAAGTCTTTCCATATTCTTTCATTATACGAATGGGCTCCATGACATAGCTATCTGGGTAACACTGCTCACGTAGGGAAAGTACCGAAAATCCATCCTTTCAACATGGGGCCATAGTCACAGGGCAGGAGGCCGGCAATCAGTCTTCTCCAATGCCCAGTGGCGAGGCTGGTTCCGCCACAGCAGCCATTCAGCATACGAACACGTGGCGAGAACAAAGGATGGCGGCCATCTTAAATCTCCCGAATGCGGCCAGCGGGACTTACTCGTGGATGGCCTGGAACTGTTTACGGCATGGCAATCACACGAACGTCCGGTCATTATGGAAGTCCCGTCTGACCTATTTCCACTCATAGTATCAAACCAGCGTTCGGGGGTTTTAATCTACCGAACGAGGGGAGCACTCTCATGTAACCAGCTGCAACCTATCTATGGTAGTTTTCGTGTAATTCTGCGCGAACGGAGACCGGATATTGCTACTGATTTCATGGAACTCTAAATCGGATACCACCACATAGTGAGCCGGTCAAACTTCCACACGATGCGACACGGAATCTACCGAACTGATTTTCGTGACATCTGGATATGTGACTCCCAGTATCCTCAGCTACCCAGGGATGTGGTTTATATATTTCTATGTTATGCAGAAAGTATTTTTCTAAAAATGTTGAAAATTGTAATGTTTCTGGCCAGCAGATAATTGAGTTTAGTATGTTGCTGAAACTCAATTATCTAGCCTGGCCCAGAGGAGGAGCTTGTACTGTATAAATCGAATGCCTGTTGCTTCCAGTAAAATCAGTCTTGTTCCAGCATTAAGCTTTGGCTCATGTGTGGATTATTTGGCGATACCAGCGATATTTATTTCTGTGGATTATTGTTATTATTCTGCTACTGTGAAAAAGGGAATACTGGATGGTGATACAGTTCACTACCGTCACAACCATGTATCAGTATTATATTACCCTAGTAATACCCTATAATTACCATGTATCAGTATTACATTACCCCTGTGATACCCATTGTAAGTATTAAATTACCCCCGTAATAGCCTATAATTAACATGTATCAGTATTATACTTACCCCAGTAATACCCTATAATTACCATACATCAGTATTATACTTACCCCTGTGATACCCATTGTTAGTATTATATTACCCCTGTAATACCATATATCACTATAACTACCCTATAGCAGTGTGGCAAAACTAGCCACTTAAGACAATCACTATAGGAATAGGTTTATATCCCTTTTGTTAAGCTGTGAGAACCAAGCATATTGCTGTATTTTCATTTCAAGCAAATGAGGGCATTCGTATGCTGGCGGCATGAAAACACCAGGATTCCTACTGTAGGAAACGAATAAACTACCGAATGGACGACCACACACAGGAGATTGTGTGGCGGCCATTAACCGATTGCAACATTGTTGCAATCGGTAGTTAAAGGTTTCCCTAGGTGGCCGTCGTTCGCTACCGACCACGCAGCGGTCGGCCATCTTGGTTCCTTTGTTAGCCCAGCGGTGTTTGGTCGTCAAGCGCCTGGAACTAAAATCGGCTACTCGACGGCGCGAACACTGCTGGACTTCCAGGCCGTTCGGCAGTTTGTTCCCCTAATACCAATCGGTACTTTAAAGGTGATTTGAGAATAATGTGTGTTTTCGTGCGGCGTTCGGTAAGTTAGGCTGGGATCTGAGCGGTATTCTCACGAATTGTGCGCTCAGACCCCAGCTATCTACCGAACATCAATTTGTTTAAATAAAGGGAATATTATAGAAGTTATGTATTTTATTGTAAAATGTAAGTTCTGCTGCACGGAGGGATATTCCACCTAGCTGTATATTCTAGTAGGAGTATCCCTCTCATGCAGCAGTGCATGGTGGGAGAAATGTCTGTGTTGTTCAGTTCCTCATGTAGTCCCCTACTGTACCACCCCTGGAATGTCAGAAGGGAAACCCCTTGCATGGGGAATCCCATCAATACAGTGCCCTGTGAATAAAACCTCAGTTGACTCCCAGCCTATGTGTCGTCTAGTTCTTGGGAGGGAAGGATTCTTACAACGCCACCCGGATTATTGTATGCTGTGTTTATTTCCTTGGATTATTTTATGCTATTCCTGTTACCCAGCGGAGATACTGTGGATCATACTACCTCTCCGCTACAAGCAGTATACTCCATGAGTTCTGCCACAAGTGTCGCTTTGGTTTTATTGCTGGTGCTTTTTCCCCTTGCTTGCAATAATTCTTTCAGTGTAGCCCATTTCAATGTTGCATAGTTCTACTCCATTCACCATGCGTTCATATATTTTGACATATTTACCGAACACTGGTGTGGCGGAACCAACCTCGCCACTGTGCACTGGAGAAGCCCGGTTGCTCGCCTGCTCCCTTTAGACTATGGCCCTGCAGTTAAAACCGGTTATGTTACCTGCTGAAAGGTTTATTTGTGCCTTTCTGCCGGGGTGTTCAGTAAATTCAATCTACCGAACAAAGTAACAAACGATGGACCACCTGGGAAATGGAGTGTGCCGTCAATTGACGGCCCAAAAGCTGCGGTTAACCGCAGCTTAATTGATGAACGCTGGGTGGCCTTTGTTCGTTTGTCGAACACGTGGCAGCGGCCATTGTAACTCCTGAACGGCCAGCGGTGTTCAGCGCCCAAACTATGGAACTGGAAACGGACACTTAATTGCGCGAACACCGCTGAGCCGCCAGCCTCCTTACCTCTGCATTCGGTAGTTTGACCGTATGAACAGCATCACCCCAGATAGCTAAGCCATGGAGCCTATTCGTGTAACGAAAGACTATGGGAAAGACTTTGGCTCCATGGCGATTGAACTGTATGTGATGTGAGCGCCATTCGGTAGTAATGTGCGCTCAGATATAAGCTATCTGGGGATATGTAGAATGTATATATTTTATGTGACAAATGTAACATTATGTATTTTATTTTAGTGTTTTATTGTAACCATGTGGTTAATGGAGTTTTGCCTCTGTCCTTGGAGATAATTTGATTACTTCCCAATTATCTCCAGGACAGAGAGGAGGGATTGTGATACATTGTAAGCTTGTGATTGGTTAATGTCCAATATGTTTCCCAGTTTCCCATCTGGTCCCCTAGGGGAGTGTCCACCAGGTGGGAGACCTGCATAAAAGCCGGGCAGTTAGCCCAGTAAACCAGTTCTGCTTGACCTCAAAACGAAGTGTCGTCTCGTTATTGGGGGAATTGGATTGTATGCTGATTGCCAGGAGTGTAAGCTGATTGTAGGCTTTTCCTGTTCGGCTGTTTCCAGTATTCGTGTAGTTTGCAGTTTGGGAGATTGGTGCTTACAGTAGCTGTCGGTGCATCTGGAAATGGGAATATCGCCTAAACGGTTTTTAACCTCTTGTGTATAAAACGGTCCGTTACAACTGGTTTTCTCTGAAAGGTTTGTTCCGTTGAACTGCTACTTCTCTTCTTTATTCGTGTGATTACTGCTGAACGCTGATTTGCTGTGTGTTTGAAATACCGTCGCTTGCCACCAATTGTAGTGGAGAGGTAGTATAATCCACAGTATTTCCGCTGGTAGACAGGAGCAGCATATAATAATCCCGATAGAACAAGTACAGCATACAATAATCCCGGTACCGTTATACAGATCGTTCCTTCCCAAGAACTAGACGACACATAGGCTGGGAGTCAACTGTGGTTTTATTCACAAGCTCCAGTATTTGTGTGGTTCCCAATGCAAGGGGTTTCCTTACTGACTTTACATGGGGTTGTACAGTAGGGGAATACATGGGGAACTGTATTATAGTATCCCATGATGCACTGTGTGTCAGTATTATAGTATCCCATGATGCACTGTGTGTCAGTATTATAGTATCCCATGATGCACTGTGTGTCAGTATTATATATAGCTTGGTTGATTCACCTGAGTGCTGTTTCTAAGTGTGTAGTTGGAGATATTCTGGAGAGTTTTACAGAAGCTTCAACTGTCTAAGAGTTGTGCCAAGAGCTTTCTTTTCTACTGTTACAGGGAAGATTCATCAGTAAGAAAAAGGTTACTGATTGCACAAGGTTTGAATTCCGGTTTATAATTATAAGGCATTTGATTTGATTAAGCTAGTTACTTGCTATTGATTGCTGGTTAATTAACTATTGTTTGCAAATAAGCAGAGGCCTACCCAGGTGTTAAACATTCCTACTGGGTGGTGATTTTAGGAGTTATATAAGGCTTGTTGTCATTAGCCTGGCTGCTTCATCTAAGTGTTGCTTCTAAGTGTGTAGTTGGAGATATTCTGGAGAGAAACTGGAGGTAATCTGAGGTATTCAGGAGGATAAAGAAAAAAGTTAAGATTAGTTTGAGTTAAATTATTGTCCTCATTGGAATGGCAGACTTAGTTCAGTGTAATAGTTGCTATGCATTTGTTTCACGTTCTACTTTTTGGAGATTTGGTTGTTGTCTAATCTGTAGACAGTCGGTCCTGCTCCACAGCGGCAGAGAATTCTACCGGGAAGGGAGAGTCTCGTTCCCCCTCCCCAGCGGCAGCCTAGCCCACCAAGAGGAGATAAGCCCCACACCGGTGCAGATGGGACCGTGGTCTCTGTGCCCAAACCACAGGGGGTAGGGACGGTCGGTCCAGTCCCCCAGCAGCAGGGCTCTATATCCAAAGGGGAGACAGCCTGTCTGCCCCTCCAGCAGCAACACCAGGTCCAGCGGGAGGATCCTACTACGCCATTCCCTCACCTGGGCTCCAACCAGGCTACTCCCGTGGTAGCGCAGGCACTAGGGCAGAGTACCGCTGGTCTCTGCCCACCCAGCAACCCATCGATCCAGAGTGCTAGTACCCCCCAGAGCCAAGGTGGAGCTCCTGGACCTGGACAAGTGACCCACTACTCCAGGTGTAGTAACCAATTTTCGTGGGTGGGTTATACTGCGGATTTTGTTTTGTGGGTGGGTTGCTGGATTAACCAAGGCACTGACCGACAGGAGGTCAGATACCTTGTTAGTCTTTTTGGGAAGGGGGAGAAATGTGGCGAAACCGACCTCGCCACTGGGCATTGGAGAAGACTGATTGCTAGCCTCCTGCCATGTGACTATGGCCCCTGGGATGTATTGCCCTTTAAAGACATGATTTGGGCATAATGGATTTGTGTTGTGCTGCTGCTGGCCCTTTAAGAACCATCTGGGGACATACTGTGGAGTCACTGGGTGGCCACCATTTCCTGTATCAGAAGCACATGGTGAGAACAATGGATGGCGGCCATTTTAACTCACAGACACTGTTTGGACTTTTCAACACGGTGCCATCTCGCCAGTATTTGGTGCACAGAGACATCGTGCAGTGATTTTGGACTATACAGCAGGGGACACATTATACAGTGATTGTTTTTCATTTAGCCTGTATATGTTCTGCAGAATCTGCATTAAACTGTATCTTCCAAAGTACTGAACGGATCTGGGGGAATTTTGGATAGGTGGTTCACCCAGATCCCCCGGTTCCAAGGATATATGGGGTTATTGCATGTTTTGGGGTCCCTGTGATGTGTTTTATGAAACTGTATTTCTCTGTTTGTGATAATTAGATTACCCATTGTGTAAGGTAATTTTGTCACAGACAGAGGGGAGGATTTTGTGTGGGAGTGTCTGTGTGTATTGTACAGATTGATTGGTTGTTCTGTAAAACCCTGTGGGCAGTACTAAGTTTGTGGATTGGGAATAAAAGAGACTGTATGTGCCAGTACAGTCAGTTCCTGCTTAACCCTCAAAGAGAAGTGTCGTCTCATTATTGGGGGAGGATTTATTGTATGCTGTTCCAGTTTGACTGCTAGGAGTGTAAACCTATTTGCATGGTTTTTCCTATTCGGCTGTATACAAAATTCATATGCTTGAGAGCATTCATATGCGTCTCCGGTTCGGTGGTTGTGGTGTCTGCTGCAGTGCTTGGAGTCCTCAGGAAGCGCTAGGAGCATCCTTCAATGGAGGTACCCAATCGGGGTGCCAGGTGATCCGTTACACACTGGGTGTCAGTGTTACGGTATCCCGTGATGCACTGGGTGTCAGTGTTACGGTATCCCGTGATGCACTGGGTGTCAGTGTTACGGTATCCCGTGATGCACTGGGTGTCAGTGTTACGGTATCCCGTGATGCACTGGGTGTCAGTGTTACGGTATCCCGTGATGCTCTGGGTGTCAGTGTTACGGTATCCCGTGATGCTCTGGGCGTCAGTGTTACGGTATCCCGTGATGC